GTCTTTTTTTTCTTCTATTAAGCTATGAGGCTCTTAGAGAACTAAAGAGACATTCACATACTGAGTTGATAGGAAAACTGAATTGAAAACCTCCTTCGTGGAGTTTAAGGATAGGGTTTGTGGTGCAGATTACTCAAAACAGGGCTTCTTGTTTATCTTTTAACTAATAGCAGATTGTCTCTATTATACATTATGTGGCGATATTAACTATAATATAAAACTAAATGCAATTGTGTTAATACAAAATCTTGGACAGATACTAAAAATGATTACTGGTACTTAAATAGCCACTAATTCTAATCTGGTGTTAACGGTTGCAAAAGAAAATAAAGTTGTGTATCTGCATTTATAATTCTTCTGTTGTGTTACTTTAAACTAGATGGAAGAGATAGAACTAAACATGACCTTAATAGAATATATTATGATTGGACTGTCATCATTATCCTGTTTGACAGATAAGGTCATGTTTTGTAATCATTTAGAGCTGTCAGTTGATCCTAGTAAACATGTTCTTGAAGAATGCTTAGTTTGGATGAAGAATGTGTTTCTCTTAACAGATCCAAAGATTATTTATGTGCCTTCTTATATTTCTCTATATCAACTTGGATCTTGCTCTATATATTATGACTGATGAACAAATAAATGTCTGGATTATCATTGTTGACTAAAGGTTCATCACTCCCTTTTTCGAGGTTTAATAAGTCTATTCGGTAAAACAATCCATAAGTTTGCCGTTCGGCTTTTCCGTCAAGTTTGTCCCTCTGTGTGGTGCCAGGTATGGTAGTACAGGATTCATTCAGCAGCAAACTGTTTCCTAGAAGCCTCTTCTATACTCGTCAAGTGACTCCAACTAGATTAGTTAACAATAGTTATGCCTAATCTTATCCTAAACAAGGAGAGAGTGGTTTGGTACTTGTATCCATTCAATTTGGTTCATTGACGAATCAATCTTTTGTTTTTGTAAACTGCTATAGGCAAATTCCAAAGGTTTCTGTATTGGAGAATCGTGATAATCAATTCTTGCACTTAATAGGGTATCCGTGGAATCCAAACTACACTTACTAGTTCAGGGAACAGTTTCAAGTATTCATCTTGTGCATGTTACCAGCTTACATTGAAAAGTGCATATGATCTTATTTTTCTAATTTATGAAGTGGATGCTTAAATTTTCATTTCTTTTTTGGTGGATCCTGGTGTTAGGTGCACCTCATAGGAGGGACATCTTTTATCGAATGGGTCTATCTGACAAGGATATTGTGGCGTTATTGACCTTGCATGTTCTTGTCTTTTCCTGGTTTTGTTGGTTATAACTCAATATCAAACTTTTGCACTCATCCAGAGAGATCAGTTTTTGATGGCCCTTGGACTAATGAACCACTGAAGTTTTGGTGACTCTTACTTTGTGTAAGATAAATCTTCTATTGGCAGACTAATATGTTTCCTAATTACTTGAAATTCATGCGAAGCCATTTACTAAGTTGAAATCAGAAGGGCTATTCCAACAGACATAGCTTTGTTGGATGACCCTGAGCTCTATGCAAAGATAAAAACTACAACAGTTCTTCGTTTTTTTTTTATGTTTCTCTTACAGCTCTGTTTGGGCCACTTTTGCACTGGTAGAAGTGTCAGAACCTTACCTACATGAAGAGGTTGGACCAATATTTGAGCGGCAATTATTTCATCTTACTGGATTTAACCTTTGCTTCAGGTAGGGTTTGTGCTGTAATATCTGCTGAACACTTACTGGCCTGTCCTGTGATCCTAGGCTAACGTTTGCCAAATTGGGTCAAACACTGGCTAAAGCCAACCACTATCATGGAGTACCAATCGTGGACAAGGTCATTTTGCAAAATGCAGATAAATATATTTTCTGCTATAATTCCCTCGTCTGGTAAGCACCTATTTCCCAGGTTGGTATCTGGTTAAGTTGATTGAAGTGTTCGGTTGGCATCACCCAATTCTCGGTTAAGATATTCTCTTTAATTAAGCTCTTATCACCATTAGTTTTCATTGTTTTTATCTTCACCTTGAGGCAGCTCTTTGATGCCCAGAAGGAGAGATTAAAAACTGAAAAAAGTGACCCGTAGTCCCAACCAGGTCAGCACTGCCTCTGTCCCAGATAATGCCAACCAAATTACATGGGAAAATAAAGAAAAATTGAGGTATGGTGTGAATTTGGACGTCTGAAACAGACCTTCCACTAAGGTTAAAAGAGTCCCACATGGTGGGGGCAGCCAAAAGGTAGGTAAGTAGGTAGGTAACGTAAGGGTCTTGATCACTTTTTGGACAGCTCTTCTTGTTCATAAAGTCTTTGTTCAAATTCAATACCTAAGCACATGATATCCACGTTCTGCTGTATGGGCACCACAACCTGATCATTGCAATCCTTACCTAAGCCTTCACCCCCATTTTAAGGACCTTAACCAATCATGTAGTTATAAAATCCCATTGATATTTTCTCTTTTGGTTGGGTTAACAAGGCCAAATAATAATTTTGGTCCCTCTACTATGTTTAAATTTGAGATTTAATCCCTATATAATGTCACTAGTTAATCCAAATACTTAGCACTATTAGCTATTCTTGGTTTAAATGTCTACTTGAATTTTACCTTGCAATGCTCGTTCTAAATCATCATACTGATATGTGTAGTAGGAGGACCAAATTCATAATTTAACCAGTTAATAACCAAAGAATTCTCTTCTAAGTCTTATCTTTTATACTTTTAGGAGAGTTATGTGGTTGTGCGGTGGAGATTGGGACACCTTGGGTGGGGAAGAAGAGTTTTGGTTAAAAAGCCAACCTAACTGATTGCGATGATGATGATTTGCGCCGTCTGATTGAAGCAGGTTAGGCACCATTCAGTTAATGCGTTTAGGTACTTGTTGGATCCACCATTTTTTTATAGGCTTCTTATTTCTCTCTTATTCTCTTCATAATATTGTCTTTGTTTTTACCCTTTTTGTGAATACTTTAGAAACTATAAAAGGATGAAACAAAACAAAATGGACAGGCATAGGCGGGTTTTGGATGAAAAGATGAAAGTAGAGAAATTTAGGGAGAAAATTGAAAATATTAAAATTGTATCCTTGTCTGCCTCATCATATAGTTTAAACATCGAAGTGTGGCTAGTGTCAGCACCAAAGATTTAAATAGCGGTTTTGATGTCGTCTGAAATTATTATTGTACGATCTAGATATTTGTAATGATCATAATAACATCTTCTATATCCGCAACTGTGATAAATAAAACGAAATCAAAACATGACCAAAATCACAATTTAAATCTCTGATAAGAATATCCTATAAAAGGTTAAAAGTAGGTGAAACCTCACTTCTTTCTACCCTAAAAACAACTTGGGCTCATCATCCTCGGCTCTTACCTCCCACTTGAATTTCGTGATGAGAGAGAGAAGACAGTTTTGTTGTGTGTGGTGGTGGGTGACAAGTTGCAAATGGGTGGAAAGTGAAGTACATAAGATAACAACAAAAAGTCTAAAATGAATCTAAGGTGAAATTCTATAGAAGGTACCTATATAGGAGATCAAATGGTATTGAATGTCCTTTTGTTATGTGTTTTCAGCAAATTTAATCCCATTTTATATTTCTTTGCTCGATTGGTATGTTTGTTATTAAAAGTGTACACGGAAAAATTAATTTTAGAATTGGAAATATACATTTTAAGAGGTATACACACAAAAAATTATAACAAGATTCTATTTACATAAATGCATTCTATATGGATCTCTTATACAATTTAAGAGAGAGAGGTTGAAGATGACAAAAAAAAAGTTGAAAATAATCAACCATTCACCAACAATTAGTTGATCTAATGGAATGATTCAATATATTCGAATTCTATCAATAGTGAATAGAGCAAATTAGGTTGGAAGGGTCGCCTTTGTCTCTACAATACTCAATCAAGATCGATTGATCGATAAATCAAATACAGATGGTTATACCAAAAAAACTAATCAACCCTTTCCATCCCTAACCTTTGCTGCCCGTTTGTTGCCTCAACTTAAACCACAAGGTTTGGGGAAAGAGAAAAGTCCCCCCAAAATTGAAGGGAAAGTGGAAGGTGAACCAAAGCCCACAAACAAGACAACCACAACCACACTCGTATCACATTGGACTGTTTTGAGTATATCTTTTTCCTATTCTCTCTCTTCTCCTTTCATCATCCTGTCCTGAACCCCAACCCCCAAGTCTTCTAGAAACCCTCTTTTCTATCTCTTCCCACATTTTCTCTCTCATGCATGATGATGGGTGCCAATAGAATAAAGATCCACAACTACCATCTATTTATCAATGATTTATTCACAAATATAGCCTATCCACTTTGACATTTTTCTTTCCCATATCACCACTCCAATTAACTAATATGGCAATTCTTTATATATATGTTTTCCCATCAACGCATAAAGTGTTTCCATCTTTTATAACTTTGCTTCAAGATTTGATTTCTGTGTAAACCATAACTAGTCAACTAGACAACATTCATAGATATTAAATATCATAAATTACACAGAAAACATTTGCTAAGGATGTTAGTTCCAACAACTTGATAAAATATACAAGTTAGGGCATGTATTCAGGTACATGTTGTCTAATGAGTTAGGGAAAAATTATGGAAGCTAACTAAACAATTAATATAAAGTACTGCAGGTTTAGACAGGGGGACCAAAGGTAGTAAGAAAAAGTAGAAAGAAAAATGGAAAGATAGGGTGGGAAAGAGAGAAGAGATCAAACTTTGCCCTACCCATACTTTAATATAACCCTACTTTACACCTACCTAAAGTTACCTACAGTTAATATATATACCCTTTAGCTTTATTATATATATATTAAATTTAATAATAAAATAAAATGTTATTTTTTTTAAAATTTTGCGTTTTACCGTCTTATAAGGTATCTATTACTAATAGAATAAGAAAATTCTATACACATATTATTTTTTAATAACTCGAACTATATATATATATATATATAATATCCATCAAAGAGTGAGAGGCCACCATCCACACTCCCTTCAAACCTGTCCCACCAACTCACATCTAGAAGCTAATTTAAGGTCACTGCCCTCTTGCTCTGTGTTCGAGTATAATAGTCAAAAGGCTATAAAAACAGCTTCTAACCTACTCTTTCTCGAAGGGCCGGCCTCAATATTATGTTGCTGCAACACACAAAAGAAAAAGCCATTCTCCACCCTTATTCTTACTACTAAATTCTCGATATAATAATATCTAGTGTTGAAAAACAGCAAACGTCCAGGTATAGTAGTAGTAGTAGTAGTACTGCTAGTTTCCACTGGTTGAAGAAGGGTTTGTGTTCAATTATGGGAAGGTCTCCTTGTTGTGAGAAAGCTCATACGAACAAAGGTGCATGGACCAAGGAAGAAGATGATCGTCTCATCGCTTATATTCGAGCCCATGGTGAGGGCTGTTGGCGTTCACTACCTAAAGCTGCTGGCCTTCACCGTTGTGGCAAAAGTTGCAGGCTTCGTTGGATCAACTACTTAAGACCTGACCTTAAACGTGGAAATTTCACTGAAGAAGAAGATGAACTCATCATCAAGCTGCACAGCCTACTTGGTAACAAGTAAGTATATATATAATATGTATATATTTAACTTTGGTGCTGTGTAGTGCTTGAAATTTTTATTGGTTTTTGAGGGATTTACGCGGGGGATTGTTCAAAATTTGTATAGGTGGTCTCTTATAGCGGGGAGATTACCAGGAAGAACTGATAATGAGATAAAGAATTACTGGAATACACATATAAGGAGGAAGCTATTGAGTCGAGGGATTGATCCGGCGACTCACAGACCGCTCAATGAGGCTTCTCAGGATGTAACAAAGATATCTTTCAGTGGAGTCAAAGAAGAGAAAGAGAAGCTCAGTAACCCTAATGGATTCATCAAGAAAGAAGAAAAGAAAATCTCAGTTCAAGAAAGGTGCCCAGACTTGAATTTAGACCTCAGAATCAGCCCCCCTTACCATCAAACCACCCAACCAGAGCCATTGAAAACTGAAGGAAGAACTCTTTGTTTTGTTTGCAGCTTGGGGGTTAAAAACAGCAAAGACTGCACTTGCAGCAGCAGTATAAGCAGCAGCAGCAGCAACAGCAGTGGCTATGATTTCCTAGGGTTGAATTCTGGTTTATTGGATTACAGAAGCCTGGAAATGAAACACGATAAAAGAGGGGAAAGCTTGGATTTTTAACTGTTTAGAGAAATGATATGGAGATTGATATTAGTTTTAAAAATCCCTTTCATTTTTGTTCTCTTATATCTCTAATCTGTATGATTATGATATATAATCAATATATACATATAGTGAATAGTATAGATGATCATTGTTTATGAACGTGTATGCGTCTTCTTTCGATGTAAATCATTTCAACAATTTGAAGTAAACAAGGACATCCCTTTACATTATTGTTGTTTGTTGTAGTTCATTTGCATGGGCGTGAGAAGGTTGAATTTGCATACCCTCTTAAAAAAGAATCTTTGGAAAAGCATTACTAATGTGATGAATGTTGGTTCATTTGACAATGTAACCACCTTTTCTTTCCTATTTGATATATTATTATTAATTTAGGGTTTTGCCCTATTGAAATGGGGAAGGGTTGGTTCTGATAATGTGGGAAGGCAAACGGATAAGCCATGAGAGGAGGAGAAACGAGGAAGAAGGGAGTGGTGGACAACCTATTTCTTCCACTCTCCTTGTTCACAACACAACAAAAAGGCATGAAGAAACTACACACCTTTCTTCCATGTACCTACCAACCCCTAACATTAATCATTCACCACCATGGACCCCTCCAACCTACCTAACTATTCCCGTTTCGGAATCAATCTCATAAATATCAACTATGAACAAAATTTGAAAATATGTAATTATTTTTTTAAAAGAAATAATTTTATAAATCAGATCAGATGAAAAATCATTAAATCTGAGTATCATAACCATCACTAATGATGAATGAGGAGTTACAAAGTGCATTCATGCTCAACATTTCAATAACATTAGTTTATATTTTACATTAATGTTTGAAAACAAAACAAGTAGTTTTGTTTTGATGGAAAACGATAAATAATAATAATTGTAATTGGAAGAAACAAGACAAGTGAAGATGAAGTTGAATTTGGTTAAGAGAAGATGGGGGCATTGATGAGGGGAGGCAGAGGTTACAATCTTCACTTTAATAAAGCTATAATTTCATAATATAAACAAAATAGTATCTGTTAACTACCGGTTGTTATGCAGATATCTTATGAGACTCGAACTTCAACTCAGTATCCCAGCATGATTAACTGATTTGGTCATAAAATCTTAAAACGATCAATAGGGTTTGTTTCAAGTAGTAAGTAGATTGATATCGTTTAAGTAATGTCTCGAGTTGACGTTTAAGTAATGTCTCGAGTTCAAGTCATTGTGTATGCAGAAAATCCCTGCCGAGAGACTCACCAAAATCAAATATGCAACGCGGGTTGGTCCGGATTAATCAAGACAAAAACTTGAAACCGAGAGGACAACAAAATAAAATTTTAAAACTATTCGTTATATATCATAGGTTACATCTTATATTTTGTCCACGTATTTGATTTGATCAAACTAAAATTAAATTTAAAGCGACTCTATACAAAATTTATATATAATAAACTTAAATTTAAAATCTCAAAATTAATTTTAACACAGTAATTAAATCAGAACATCATTAAAAAAAATTTAAGCTTACATGTTTTCTATTAAAAGGTATTTAAATTTTATACGTATTTATACAAAATTATTATCAATGCTTTTATTAGGTCTTTGATGGACATCAGGATAACGTACCAAATTATAAAAATAGTTGGCAACAATACAGTCCATTATGAATGCTGTATACCAACCAAATATTAAATCAATTTTGTAGCTCATCTCTAATAAATAATGATAAGATAGAAAGAAGATAATTCTTTTTATAAAACAATAAATTAATATGTAAATTGAAATGACATAAATAAATAAATATTAATAAGAGACTGGACGTGAAATTTGAAAAACTCACCAACTTGGAAAAGCAAAGCCAAAAGAAAAGAACCCTTCACATGTTGAAAAAGGAAGGCACTTTTCCACAATTTACCACTTTTATTTAATTTTTAATAATTAATTATCTCTTTTTTCAAAGGTGTTAGGTAGAGATATTAGAAGCTTCATAAGATTTTTTTTTTCACATACCCCTTTTTCATTTTTTTATTTAAATATTATCTTTTTTATTTTTGGAATTAATATTTATTTTGAATTAATTCTTTGAATCGAATTTTTTTATGATATAGAACAAATATAAATTACATCAATCACACCTTTAGAAAGGGTCTTACATATCGGCTTTAATTTTATCTTTCTTTAAGGTGATATTCTAATAAGAAAATTTTACGTTTAATAATTATATATTTGTTATGCTTTAATAAAAATTTAAAGTTTTTTTTTGTTAGTATGAAATGATTATAAAGTAGTATTTGATTGATAATAAATGATCATCCAGCTTAGTTGGTATAGAACAAAGTTCTTAACCTTGGGGTCGTAGGATCGAGTCTCATGGAATGCATTTCATAATTCGGAGGTCTCCTACGGAAATTGCTCTCAACCTGGTATTAGGGATAATCTACTATCTTACATCCCCTTACCTCATTACATAATTTTTTAACTACATTGCAGTTATTGTGTTTAAACTTAAGATTTCTAAAAATAACTATTATGTTTTAATGATTAGAATCATTTGACTCGTATAATAAAAATTTCACAATTAAATTTTGAAAATAATATCATAAATCTCAAATAAACATAAATTTTAAATATAAATTCTAAAATAAATATAAATCATCTAAAAGATAATTATATAATATAAAATAGTCTTTAGTCTCAATCACTAGGCTAATAATTGTTCATCTGAATTTTTATTTTATTACTTCCAACTCCAACCAACATCACATGCACCACTCTTGAGGTAGGTCCTTTTTGGTTTTTCTTGTCCTTCCCAATTCACCCTTTCACTTTCATCTTAATTAAAAAATAATTTGTCAACGAATACTTCAAATTTCCCCTTTTTTATAAGCTTATTTTGTTGATAAATATTAGGGTAAACTATACCAGATATCATTCAACTATAGTCTCTTTTCATTTTGATCACCATTTTTGAATTTTTGTCAATCAGACCACCCAACTATTTAAATACATTCAATCAAACCACTAGTCGTTAACAGTTAAAGAAAGTGCTGATGTGGCAGTTAATAAAATTAGTATAATTACATATTTGATCATTATTATTTATATATTCTATCAATTTAATCATAATTTAAAATAAATTTAATATTTAAATCCGATCATGACACCTGTACGTGTCACCCCTCTGGCTGAATGAAAAATAAAGGCACCAAATGAGGGTAATGGGATTCAACCTTGGGTTGGGTGGGTGGCCAAGAACAACATCAACCACTTTGATGAAGTTGATTCTTTGCCTTAAAGTGAACTACATGTAATATATAACTTGTATCTTAGTTTAATTTTAAATTCTTAATATCATATATATCTTAACTTAAATTCACATCTAATAAAATTGAATATATATTTTATTCTTAAAATAAAAAATATTTAATCTTTTTTAAACTTAAAAAATATATGTTTTTTACCTTAACTTAAATATTACATTTTATTCTTATAATATTTTACAATTAAGATAAAATAAATTTTATAGTTAAGATAAAAATAAAATATATATTTAAAATTAAAATAGAATAATATATATTTTTTAAAATTAAAATAAAATATATATTTTTAAGTTAATATAATAATAAATAATATTTAATAATTTAAGGTAAAAATATAATATATTTATAAATTTATAAATTAAGATAATATTAAAATATATTTTTAGTTAAGATAAGAATAAAATATATTCAATAAGTTAAGAAAAAAATAAGATTGTCGAAACGATTTTTTCGTGGGACGAGATTTGGAAAATCACGTCATTTTTAATTATTCTCTTTACGATTGAATTTTTAATTAAAAACAATGTGATTTAAAAAACCTTTCGTCTCGAAAAATTGGAAATTCCTTTACGAATAAAAAAAACATAGTTCGAGGAGTTGCCACCAATCTTTGATTAGGGTGTGATTGGGCATCCAAAAACGTTGTCATTTTAAATAAAAATTAATTTTAATTAAAACAACAAATTGAGGCTTGCGTTATCAAATCTGAGTTCGAGAGTCGATTACGCGTGGGGAAGGATTAGCACCCCCACAGCCCCCTAAATCGGTACCTAGTCGATTAATTAATATCTTTGCAACGAAATTTACAAGTTCGAGTTTAATTTGATTTATGATCCCTTTAAACAACAAAATGTGGATTTTATAATATTCAAAAGCAACGAAATAGGTTAAATTAAAATTACCAAACCATTAGAAAGATAAAGAATATTCGATTATTTAAAAATATTGAGACCAGCTCTTTAGGTCAGTTCTAACGATCTTTTCTCAACAAATTTAAATAGTCAAACATTTGTTTTTCTTTCATTCCCAAATTTTAAGGTGATGAATCAAAATTTTAGCTGTCACTGATGAGATACACTTTTAATTTAAAATCGTCTAAACGGCTCTCTAGTAAGTTAAAAAAGCCATTTAAACAATTTTAAATTAAGAGGGTATTACCCTTAATCCGATTATGTAATGATGCCGAGTTATGCTCATGTGAACATCATACGAATTATGCAAAATGATGTCATGTGATTTTACTATTGAATTATTCACATACTCATACATATGTAAACATATTATTATTATGCATAATAAATATAAACAACCAGTTAAAAAAACAAGCCTAATAATGGACTAAAATAAATTTAAATATGAAGACTAAATCTACAAGATAAACTGATCTAAATATGCGAAAATAAAAACATGAATTTAATTAAAACTAATGAACAAGAATAAAATTTTAACAAACTAATTAGCAAAAAGGTTAATCAATAACATAAATAATCTAAGGACTAAATTAAAGTCAGCAACAAAATTCAAAGACCAAATTTAAATGAATTCAACAAATTCTGACATAGTTACAATATTGAAAGTGAAAGGAAATTAAGCAGGCATCGAAATTATGAAAGTGATCTGAATAGAAAAACAAGGCAAAGATATGAGGATTTAAAATGTGATTTACCCAATTCTAAGCCTAAACAGGTTCTAAAAAAAGGAGAAATAGCACCTAAAGGCCCATAAAATTGACATTAAATCGGGTCAGACCAAA